TTACAGATTACAGGAAGTTCAAAACTGAACGAATAAGTCCTCAACTTTTTCCCCCCTCAAGTTATTTATCACAGCAAGGAATTGGCTTAACGTGGTGCTTGTAAGCTGACTTCTTCTTCAATAGGATCTGAAGAAGAAAGGATCAAAGCAACAACAGGATACAGGCTGCTGCGATGCAACAAGTGTCAATTCTTTTCACGTGGAAGTCGCCTTCCGCTCCGTGGATTCAAGCCTTTTCAGCTGAACGGTTATTGACATTGTGCGGCAGCTAGCAACTACAAAGTGTTTAGCTGATGTTCAAGTTTACTACATTGTCTTATGCCCTTCCATCATACTCTAAACAAAATTTGTATAAATTTTTAATTGTACTGCTAAGAAGCGTCAAAATGACGTTATCTGACTAACAATATAAGAGCAGAACCCTCAACACCACCGGACACAATTCTGATAAAGATCGATACAAATCTTATCCTCACAAACTCTTGTCCGAAAGATGACAATTAGCTTTCTCGTTCATCCATGTGGTCACTTATCATATTTCCACTCCCAATTTCTGTACGCACAAACTTTCGTTGTCCTACCCTATCTACACGCCCAACCCAGCATAACCACCTGAACTGCATTGTTCGGACAATACTAGGTGACTTGCACGGATCAGTGAAGTTCTCGTTAAGAACTTATTTCACTCGTCTTAGGGTCAAATATTTTATTAAGACGCGGGTATTCGGACACTTGCAAATTATGCTGTTCTCATGAAATAAGAGATCACTTTCCACACCTATATCAAAAAGGCGGTAAAATTATTATTCTACACATCAGATTTAAGATCTATCTGAAGGACCACTCCTTGTCGGCCGTATCCAACTGCTCTTTTTAAAAAAAAAAATATTCGCATGGACCCTCACTATAGCGCGTAAGGGATGGATGAGAAATGCGTACAAAATTTTCGTTGGAAAGGCCCAAGCGTAGAAACACTTCGGAAAACGTAACCGCAAAATGGCGGATAATATTACAATTAATGTTAGGGAAATATGACATAAGGGCATGGAATGGATTCATCTGGCTTGGGATAGGCAACAGCTGCGAGCTCTTGTGAATACGGTAATAAACCTTCAAGGGAATTTCTTGACTAGCTGAGGGACTATCAGCTTAAAAAGAAGGAAACTGGTGTATTCCAGTTCATCACCCATCGTTTCGTTTGTGACTAAATTACATCTGCAGTTGATATAAATAAGGACGTATGTATTCAACCAAATTTTACGATAAGCCGGATATTCTATTAATATAGGTTCCACTACATCTGAAGTCCTTAGTATTAAAGTTAATTAAAACATCTGAAGCCACTGTTTCTTAACAAACGTCGTCCATATTTAAGCTAGACTGCTGCTTTGCAGCTCAGTTCGCATCTGCAGGCCCTCGGGGAAGCAGTTCTGGGCCAGACACAGGAGACAGACAAAAAACAAATGACCTTGTCCTTCGAAGGGACACCTCAGCAAACATCACGGTCAAACTGCATTACGTATTCCTATATACTAGGCCTACTCGAATTTGCATTGCTACAATGGAACAAAATTGTTTTCAACGATCTGAAATAATTAAAAACCTCTTCTAGGACTAGAATCGTAAGAGACCAAACACGGCATACTGCGCCTTACAAAACCTAGACTGACTAAGGCAATTTAGGCATATATGGTTGTACAGGAGATTAAATACAAATATGTATGTTACTGTAATATTTAAACCAGACAAAGGCTGACAAAATACAGTCTCTCTGGTAGCCCAAGGGCAAACAAAGCAACGGTCAGAAAGGACATCTTAAAGTCTGACCAGGAAACACAGAATGGACTTGACACCAACAAACACCAAAGAGAAATGGAGCTGGAGAAACATTTAATTAGGTACACGCATTTTGATGACACAAAGTTTCATAAAAGCAGTCTGTCTGAACGAGAGAGGGCAGGCAGACACGGTGAATCTACATCATGAAGACTGTTTTAATAGGTATCTATAATGAGGCACGGCAGATGTGTTGACGACGGCGTATCAGCTACAGTGGCTTTCTCTGCAGGCACAGAAATTATAAATCATACAAAACTTTGGTAAGAATCTGTAGGAAAGATACACCATTTTGAAGACTTAAGCAGAGGTGTGAGGATAATAATATGGTTCTTAAAGAGGTACGGTGTAAAATGGATACATTTCGCTACGAGGAGCCAGTGACAGGAACTTCCAAGTTCCACAAAATAGAAAAATTTTTGAACACCAGACAGACTGCTGGTTTATCAAGAATGACTCTGAAATATGGAGTTTGCTGACGTACAATCAGAACCCCCTAAATGTAATTTGACATCATTTCCAGAGTTCTTAAAAATCTCCCCTCCCTCCCGAGAAATGATGTCGGTAGGATCCTACAACGTTGACGACGCTTGGACCATTACACAGAAGTCAAAACAGACATTTAGTGTCAGCGCTTTGTAAATGGAAGGCGCGTGTAAAACCCAACCCCTCCTGCAACTCTATCTCGTTCCACAATTCTTTCAAGGAAAGGATCAGTCTACAACACCAAGTTTTCACTAATGACTAAATGGAGCCTCGGCAGATCGTATCAGAAGTTCCTTTCGTTATTTTGAAACCGAGTCTGGGTGCTTTACAGGTGCCCCTTATCGCATTCCTCAACCTTTCAGCGATAGGGTCGCCTACTATTCGCATTATTACATACGCAGGGTACAAGGGAACTCACGAGGACCCTATTCAGAGCGCCGTTTGGTGTATGTACGTTGATTTTGATGATTTGAGAACGGTAAAAATATGGACTGTGGTCTTCTGAGATATTTTGACGTGCAGTCTCGTAACTAATTACCAAAGATATGGGGGAAAACACAACGCTTCCATCTTCATCAGAAAATATGTTCGTTCCAAACATTTGTGACCACCTACAAGACAGCTGGCGCCATGACCCGGAAGGCCACAATTCATAGACCCTATTCACTCCTTGAATGTACAAGCACAGTCAAGGAGTAACATGTTCTACTTTCTTGTAAGTCTAAGCGACAGTTAAAGAGACAAACAATGTCACAGGCACAAACGAGTGATAAAGTGCGCATGGCTAACAAAAGTACTGAGTTATGATTATTCAGCCTACAACAAACAAGTGTAGATTATGGTGATGTTCTTTTGGGTCCTGGGTGCGAAACGCTGGCAAGAGACGCCAGAACCCAAAAGAACATCGTCACCACCATGAAAACAAAATATCACACAGTCTAAGTTAGTGAACGAGGTATAATGTTCAAAAGAATAAACGCTTTGAAACATTCCCAGACCTTCAGGTTTTGAAACGACAGAAACGTAAATCCGCAAGAGGCACGCATTCCAAAGCCGATTTTAACCTAACCTGTATACTGAGAAGCAGCACCATGGGCCACTCTTGTGCCACACGCCCTGAAGATAATTGACCGGCCCTAGTAATGTCCAGGCCAGTGAATCGCCTTGCTGGCGAAGAGAGGTTTAAGTTTATTACACACAGAGGCAGACCGGTTCACTGTCAAGGCACAGGTATAGTACGGACCAGATTACTTGCGTGTTCTTGGCGCGGGGGTGAAGAGCAAGGTGATAAGAACTGCGCGCGCACCTCCACGCTTTTTCAAATCGTATTAATCGGCCGTTCCGTGCACCGTCTGGGCCGTGCCGAGTGCAACTATTCACAGCACTAGGGAGCTCAGCCAGCAAGTAATCTGGTCCCTACTGTACCTGCCTTTTAGAGGAAGTAGCCGAGGGGCACAGAATAACACATCAAGAAAGACTTCTTAAATTGTATTCTTATCTAAATGTTATTAGGATGATCTGGTTTGTGATACGTGTGAGAAAAGTCGATCCAAATCCGTTACATCGTTCCGAGTCGCATTGTCTGATGCAGTTTATTTTATTTGAGTGGTTTAATTTAAAGTCGATTCAAGCAATAAATGCAGTTGGTAACTAAATAGTGTCCTATTTATGTCAGTGTTCTTAGAATCGCATCCCCGACGAAACTTGATGTTTGCAAAACGAATCCTCTGGAACTAACCAAGATAGGGAACGAGGAAAAATCATTTACGACGCATTTAGGACAAATCGAAGTTTTACTTCTGTGTAAACCTTATTGATACATTTTAAATAATACCAATGAAAGCGACTGTGATGAGCCGTGGATGCAGCACGCACTGGAGGAAAAATAAATGACGTGAAAACTCCACAGAAAAGAATCAATAACCAGAACCAAACAAAGATATAAGCCAAATAATACGAAATAAGCATTGAAAAACGTGTTGTGAGGATGTGAAGTGAATCGGACTAATTCCGAATAGACACACAACGTGGGGCTTCTTCGGATTCGATGACGAATCATCGGTTTAATTAAAAAGTTGGAAAGTTCTTGAACAGGGAACAGTTAACTATCGAAGTACCTTGCTGCACAGACAAGTAGCTTAATTATTTAATTAACTGGTACTTACTGGTAGGTTCTGTATTGGTGTTGCATCGACTGTGGGCATTATACAATTGTCTCACTACCAGTGCACAACCCTTTGGGGGGGGGGGGGGGGGGGG